CAGAAAAGCCAGAGCGTAGTCAAACCGGTCCGTGGTCAATCCGAAGTAGAACAAAGCTGGAACGCTGGAGAAACAGAGATTCAGGAACACTGAAGCCCAGGACCCAAGGGTGAGAGTTGGCAGCACAAAGAATTAAGTCCAATAAAGACACTTTACTTCCTGCAACTAGATGTGCCAACAGAACCTCCTTATATCTCAAAGCTCATTGTCAGAGCTTGATGAGCTCCCCACCCTCTCGTCATCGCTATCACCTGCTCCCAAGTCTGCAGCTGAGTGCCCATCCCTCCACCTCTGCCAATTACTATCAGGGTTCAGATTCTGCCAGGAATCACCTGGCTGCCAGTCCCCAGTGAACCCCTCAAACTCCTCGCTAGAGGTGGGCTGGTTACAGATGTCCCTTATGTTTTGAACATGGATCCAATCCAATTCCTCCCCCTCCATGTCACTTCCAGACCCAGAACTCCCTTCAAAACCCAGGAAGTCATCCTCATCGGTTGGTACACTAAGTATTTCCCGAATACGCTTCCTTTGCAATTCCCCCTCAGACTCTGGCTCACGAGCAGCCCTTTTTACACCTCTGCTCACTTCCCCATTCCCCATGTCGTAATCTGAGAAGCCTGGAAACGTATCGGTATCACTTGGAGCCATGATGATTTCTCTAATGCGCTGACGCTGCTGTTCTCCCTCCGACTCCCAAGGAGACCTTTCCCCTCTGCTACTAGGAGTAGCAACTCTGTCAGCACGTTGAACTACAACAACAAGCTCTAGGATTTTGAAGGATGGAATCTATTACAGCTTAAGTAGTATCAAAATACAATAGCTATAAACATAGTCAAACCCACTTTCTGTTTGGACTCAGCTCTTGTACATACTGGCTTCTTGTTACACAAACAAGTACCCTATTTTGCATTTTCTTTTCTTATTTATTATTTATTTATTTACCTTACTTATATACCGCTGTTCTCAGCCCAAAGGCGACTCACAGCGGTTCACAACAAATAAGAACAGCAAAATTTTTCTTTTCTAATGTGGAAAAGAATATGAATTCTCTTCACTCCTTACTCTTACCCTCTTGGACCACCCTAGCTTCCCATTGATATACATCACTAAAATCTTATCAACTATCACCCATTTGTATGACATGTTTTAAGGGGTACTGCTTGGGGTAACAGCTGATGGCTCTATTTGTATTGTTGCACTGATATTCTGCTTAAAGAAATCTTAGTGTCAGGGTTTATAGAACTTGTAAATGGAGGCATTGGGCTAGAAGGGGCTTTTTAAAAGCTTATTTATAGGAATATCAAAGCCATAACACTATGTTATCTAACTGAAATGTTAGAAAAATATAGTGTTAAAACAAACACTATGATTTGCAGCTCTCCTGAATGGTTACCAACATCAGAGCTACATAACAAACTGTAAGCCTAAAATTATCTTTTAGAATCTCACTTCTTTCTGTAAACCTACTAAGTAATTGCTGTCCTGCTTGCATGGCATTGTTTATTTGCAATAGGAGAATAACAAATATGCATACAACAAGCAGTGGGTTTGATACAAAACATTAGAACTTGACTTTATGTAAAATAGAAATTGTATTGGTTTAGAAATAGAAATGCTGAGCTTTCAATTGCATGCATTCAGTAATGGCAAGTTCTTGTTTTTGAAATCATATTTTTGCTTTCTCTAGGTATTAATTAGATGCAGTCTAGCAACCTGCGTTAATTTCAGGTTGTAAAAGTAGACTTGAGTTTTGGATTTCCAGCCTCCTACAGTGTGACGGTGTTATTTTTTCATCTTTTCTTTAATTTGATAGGCTCTCATCCGTAAAGCTGCTCTTCAGTCTAGTGTTGCTATAGAAACATTCACTAATCATTGATAACATTGTACAGGCAACACAGTTTCTCAATGGAATGGTAGTTCTAACAGGGATGCTGCACATTTCTTTATATATAGTCTTCTTTCGTTCCTTTGATTGTGTTAATTGCTTTTAACATGTGCTATTCATGGATGCTGCTATTTCGCAATGGTATGAAACCTCTTTGGATTGCCTGGTAAAAGTAGAGTCTGTAAAAGCCAGTATTTTAGGTTGTTCACTTTTTGGTCATTCCCCTTCTGCTTGTTTTCCTGTCTACCCTGATATCCTTGACTTCTGTTATCACTGACCATGCACAGTTGTCCTCGCCCTGTTTTTCGATCCCTTCTCGAAGTATACTTTTCTAAGACATTTTTTGTACTTCAGCAAATGGTAGAGTTCTCCTAAAGCTGCTTATATCTTCTTGGTTTTGACCTAGATCAACTCTCAGAAATCCCAGCCAGTTTTCCAGCTGTTAGGATTTCTGGGAGTTGAAGGTCCAAACATCTGGGGACCCACAGGTTGAGAACCACTGACCTTGATGGTGCATATTAGACAATTACATGCCTTTAACAAGATGAGTTAAATTTGCAAAGAGAACCACCACAGTATAATGGTTGACTGTAGGAATATTATTCTGCAGGAAACTGCAGGAGAGCAAGACTGAAGACCCCACTCAGTTAAGGAAATCCAGTGAGTGACCTTAGGCAAGTCACACACTCTCAGTCTTAGAAGATCGTAATGCTATTTTTAAAACAAATCTTGCCAAGAAATCCTTATGACAGGGACACCATAAGTTGGAGTTGACTTGAAAGCATGTTGCATCAACATCAGAGATAAAATATATGTTTAACACTATAAAATACTTTTCTCTGAGATGTTTTGGGGCTTTTCTTAAGGTCACTAAGATGTTTCAAATGCACTCCTTAGGCTTCTATTTAACACACGTAAATATGGGAATTCAGACCACAGAATGGCTTGTAGATAAGAACTTTCTTTTACATTACAATTCAAGTTGCTCCAAAGTACTTTTTAATGTCATAATTAAAAAAATTTCAAATATACCTTCTGACTGTACCTGCAATCTAAATACTTCCTAAAGGCATTCCTTGGCCTGGATGTCCTGGTGGTATCAGAGACTCCTAGATATTAAGGTGGAGTATTTTCAAGATGCACAAATTTACATATTGCTATGCTTGCTGAAGTGCATCTTATATTAGGTGGGTTGCAGATCTAATAGATTACTGATCTACCACCACATCACACTTACAGCACCCCCCCCCCTCAATTTTGCAGGCAGCCAGTGTAAATTTACTGGGAATTACAGCTGCCATCTGATGACTTCCAGTTGTTGCTCCAGTATGCCCACCCTCATTCCCGTCACAGAATTACAGAGCAACCATGAAATTGGGCAGTTTTGTAATCACTGGAAGAAATGCGAATTTAGCCAAAATAGCGCTACGTATTATTTTGGCTCAAAACAACATGTGATGGGGTCTGTGACAGACTCCATTCTGTTTCAGAGCTTGACATGGTGAAAAGGTGCATTCCAGTGGGCAGTCCTTAGTAGCAGGCTGTCATCCCTCTTTACAGAAGTGCATAATAACGCTTTCCCTTCACAAATTTCTTTTTAAAAAATTATTAATGACAGATATAGTGCAATAGAGGCATTGTAGAACAGAGAACAGACAATTTCCCTTTGCTGGTTTGTTCCAGTTACAATATTGTACTTAGCAGAGAGCTCTCATCCCTGTTTACAGAAATGCATGATTACTCCTTTCTAAGGAAAGAAGTGGTTTAAAACAGCATCCCCATTTCAAGAACTCAATGGATTTTGATGCAGAACAATTGGATTCCATTGAAAGCAATGGTTTAAAACAGCATCCCTATCTCCAGAGTCCAATGGGTTTTGATGAAGAACTATTGGATTCCATGGAAAGCAATGGTTTAAAATAACATCCTTGTTTCAAGCATCTAATGGGTTTAGATGAAGAACAATTGGATTCCATGGAAAGCAATGGTTTAGAACAGCACTCCTATCTCAAGGGTCCAATGGGTTTAGATGCATGCAGAACAATTTTGATGTTGTTTTAAACAACATCCCTATCTCAAGAGTCCAATGGGTTTAGACTCAGAAGTATTGCATCCCATGGAAAGGGATCCTGGCTGAGTTGCTTGAAAAAAAAGCTGGGGGTGGAGCCTTATTGTCTGTGTGTAATGAGGAAGATAGTGGGTGCCTATGGGGAAGCAGTAAATCTGATGAGAATGAATGAAAATGAGTGAGGGAGGACTGGAAGTTACAATCAGCTCCAAATTCCTCTCTTTACTTAATGATGCCACTCAATACTGCCATCTGATAAGGTCCCTAGAGAGGTTCCATGGACCACTTTATATTCTTAGAAAAATCAAGATCTCCTCTTTGGATGTATTACTGCATCGACATAGCATCCTTTTTAATGAAGACTGGCTGCCAGAGAGATTCTAATGATTGAATATCCTGAAGCACAGCAAAAAGCATGAGATGTCCTGAATATGCTGTATCTCGTCCAGTCATTGCCACCTCTTAGCTGGAACTCAGCAGATTTGTATTCAAGACAGCATTGAACTCCTCTACATGCAATTTGCTGCTGGGATATTAGTCATTAGAATGATGTACTGAAAGTCAAAGCAAAATATCAATTTTACAAGTCACCTTAGTAGCCAAACATTTTTATCTCACTGAGCTGCCTACAATATACTGGACGGAAGATCTCATAGATTTAGTCATTCTAGGGCCATTCAAGAATCATTTGGGCATTAAGAGACTGGTTATGTTGGTGTCACTTTCCCTATCCCCTTCCATCTTTTGTTTGTCTAGCCCTATATCTTCAAGTGCAAGTGGGCTGTTAATTGTAGGCTTTACTGCATTTGTGAATGAAGGTGTAGGATACCAAGGAAGGTGATAGAAGATAATGTTGTATAGCATTGGATCATGGTCACAATAGTTCTATGATTACAGGATAATTATAAGGAAAAAAAGGAGCGCAAGATATTGGGGGTGGGGGGGTGGGCTGTGCCAAATAAATGTCTAATCCAGGAAACAAAATGTGACAAACCTTGATGATGCATTTCAAATCCTTATATTTCATTTTGTTGTTATTATTCTTAGAGAAAATCCGGCAAAGATATGCAGATCTACCGGGAGAGTTGCACATTCTTGAATTGGATAAGGATAAGAATGGACTGGGACTCAGCCTTGCTGGCAACAAGGATCGGTCTCGCATGAGCATCTTTGTTGTGGGTATCAGTCCAGATGGCCCTGCAGGGAAAGATGGAAGAATGCGTATAGGAGATGAACTTTTAGAGGTAAGTTTTCTTTTTGAAGAATTTTTAAAAAAAGAACTGAAAAAAATAAGCCATCTGTCACGAGTACTTTGATTTTATATTCATGCATGCCAGGAGATTGGATGGTCCTTGAGGTCTCTTCTAACTGTATAATTCTGTAATTTTGAGAAGACTGATTGGAGACCAATTGGCAGGTATAGCTAAGGCATCTTATCTAACAGGTAATTTGTCTCTCTCTTTCTTCCACCAAAGGAGATTAGATTCCATGACATATTTTTAACGAGGGCTACATTAGCCCTGGTTGACTTCAAAGGGCCTTTGACTCAATCCATGGTGAAAGAACCTGTGAATACAGAGGGCCAATTATAATTTTGTACATATTGGTCAGTGCTCTTTAGTTTTACCCGGACTGGAACCCCAAATGTTAATGAATGACAACTCCCATCATTTTTGATAATCTGCCTTGTGGACTGCAGATACTGAGAATTGCAACTAAGCAGCACCTGTGGCTCTGAGGTTGGGGAAAGGTTAACTGACATTTTAAAGTCAGACATCGTATGCACAAGCTTTTTATCTGAATTCAAACCCTACTGTCCTGACTAAACAGAGAAAACCACAGCTTTCCAGATGTTACTGTATCCCATCAGCTCTCATGAAATAGGAATTGTAGTTCAGCATCTGGAGGGCCACATAAAACTATATGGTGAACCAGATTCTGCCCATGGGCCATGCATTTGACACATGTGTTCTAGGCCATTATCAGTTGTTAAGAGATACTATTAGAGAATACAGGCATTTCAGATTTTTTTTTTTTTTTACAAAGGATGATTAGACAAATGCTATCCAAAGTGAATGTCTGCTGGCTGCTGGTCCTGGTGAATTTCCAAGAGCACAAATATGGTCTGTTTGTAAGATCAGAGCAGAGCAGATGACAGAGGTTTGTGGAGATCTGTCATTCACAGAATCATCATAGATCAAAATTAACTTGATGTCACACAACAATATTCCTCACACAAAGGAATAGATCAGGATAGATAAGAGAAAATAGGATAATTTTCCTACCTAGAGATAGTGTGAATCTTTAATTGGGATCTGGTCCAGTGTTTTGAAGTTTGAAGGATGTTGATGAAAATATAAATAGCCTAGAAGGAAGATACTATAGGATCACATGCAAGGGATTGTTCGGAGTTTGAAAAAATACTCTTTCACCTGCAAGATTGCCCTGGCCATCATAATCCGAAAAAGTAATGTTCCCAAACTCTGGAATAATCCCAGCACTTTAAAAAAATCTGCAGCTAGTGTTCAGAAAGACTACTCTCTGAATTCTGTATGCTATTCAGATAGATGCTATTCTGAGTGATAGTGGTATACAGGTGGAAAATAGTATGAGATGAAAGTTTGTAAGTGGGCAGTTCATAGCTGGGATGCTGTTTCATACCAGCTCAGGCTTATCCATCTAGCCTTGTATTTATTAGTGTGACTTGCAGTGACTCTCCTGCATCTCAGGCAAAAAGGGCCAAGGTAAGTGGTCCCTTTGCGACCCTGCTGTGCGATTCTTTTAACTGTAAGTGACAGAGTTTGAACCTGAGATCTTCTACATCCCTCCTCTGAGGTATGATTCTTCCATCTCAGTTGACAGATCTATAGGTTTCTTAGGCAAGCCATGATTCTCCCATCTTCTTTCCTGCCACATAAAAAATCATATTACTGCCCTTCCTGAAAGATCTGCCTAAGACATTACTAATGTTTTAAAGTATTAAATAAAATACATAAACAGCAAGTAATAGCTGTCATAGTTGGGAAAAGATACACCTTTTTATTCTACACATATTCCCCACAGGAGGGTATTTCAGAGTATCACTTCAGTAATGCAGTATTTTCTACCTAGTAGCTACATATCTCTGCCCCCCCCCCAAAAAAAAAGAAAAGGAAAGGAAAAAAGCATGCCTGAGGAAATGCTCAACTAGCTATAAACATTTGTCAGTGCCCTGGGATCGTCTAATTACAAGTTTCTGATATACAATATAGATTTATTTTTCTGTAAAACTGCCATTTCCCCCACTGCTTGAGTGACAAAATTATACTAAAAGCATTTTGCACTCATAAAACTCATGGCATGAAAAATCTGGATCTTCTGAAAAGAAGAAGCACATTCCTTGTGAGAATCAATGCTTCTGGTATAGGTGATGATGGCAGCATTTAATGATAGCTACCAGGGAAGACTAGGAACTTACTTGGGTGTCAGGATGAATCGACCACTTTTCTTGTTAATGCTTTCCTAGTGAGCCCATTTTCACAATGCTTTAGTTTGTTTTATATGAATGAGAATAAGAATTTTGATTGATCTAGCCATGTCAACTATTGGCCAGGATACTCTGCAAGGGATCAAATCTATAACTTATCAGTTAACAAACTATGGCACATGAGTCATCTGCATTTCACAAGGTTGTTTTTCAGACCCCAAAAAGTCCCCTGTATGTTGCCTCCTGACATTTTCATTTTGCTCCATTTTGAGCATTTTATTTAAAACTCAAGAATAGCTTTTAAATCTGCCATGCCTGTGCTGTAAAAGCAGCTTATTGGTAAAACATTTCACTCACATTGATACTTGAAACTTGGAAAACTGGAACTACATGGAGGGAACTCCAACATGTATAATCTAGTCTCGGCACAGAACTTTCCAGATGTTGTCACTGAAACTTATGTTAATCAGATTTTAGTATCTCTGCTGTTGCACTCACAGTATTATCTGAAAACACTGACTTAACCTAAACCATTTGGGACATGGCTGCTTAGATTTTGAGACTAGAAGAACTATATTTTTATAGAAGGAGGTCTACAACAGATGGTCAAAAACTAGGAGTAAATTGTCTTGGCCACTTTGCATTGCTTTAAACAGATACAAACTTATTTGTCAAGTTTGTATAGGCTTCATTTTAACTGCTGGAAATACTATCTCTGTTGCAGGTTGGGCGTTCTTCTTTGGAGTTGTGAAATTTGAAATACTCCAAAATTGTTTATATGAGTGGCTTGGATAGTGACACCTTTGTCTATTGATGGCTCAGTATCCACAAATAAATTTCGTGCACAAAAGTATTTCATACATTATTTAAAATTACCTTCAGACTGTGTGTATATGCATATATGAAAATAAAATTAATTTCATGTTTTGACTTGTGCCCCATCCCCAAGCTATCTCACTATGTACTTACTTGTAAACTCAAACATTACAGATTTTTAAAAAAATCTAGAATCTTAAAGACTTCTGGTCTCAAGCATTTTGGATAAGAGATAGTTATAGGGAAATGGTAGCATTAATGCAATGTAAACAACTTAAAACATAGTTGTAATGTTTATTCTTGAATAATACAGACAGTAGTTAAACCAGAGTGCCTGACCTAAATGAAATGTTTTCACAAAAGGAAGTGAAAATCATGTTTTTTCTTCGTGGTCTCTGCGAATGCACACTTGTGGAGAGACTGCGCCTGCGCGGGCTCCAACAGAAACTTCTACAGTTTAAACTTTTCAAGTTTTGGCGGTAACCCCGCCCAGCCCCGGCAGGGGATAAAAGGGCGCCCCGTGCATACCGACACAATTCCTGTTTTTCCGCCGCACGGCTCGCTTCGATTCTTCTACTAGTGATTGGATAGTATTATGTCAACGACTCGCTTTAAAAGATGCGCGAATTGTCCGAGGAAGATCCCTGATTCGGACAAGCACGCTCTTTGTCTTTTGTGTCTCGGAGAGGCACACATCACATCTTCGTGTCGTCATTGTCAATCGTTGACGGCACAGTCCCGTAAAAATCGGGTTCATCGGCTTCGATACCTTCTGTACCAGCAGACGTTGGCTCCGGTACCTTCAACATCGACATCGGCGTCGACGTCAACTGCAGTATCCAAGCCATCGACATCGGCATCGACGTCGAAGGAGGCATCGACCTCAAAATCCGTCGATCCCTCGACTCAGGTCGAGCCTCGCCAGACAAGGGCGAAAAAGGCTGCACAGAAAAGACCGAGGTCAGCTATGTCGACAGCTTCTAAGGCTTCGGCGTCGACAGCTTCTAAGGCCACAAGGCCTGCGAAGCAGAAGGAACCATGCACGGTCACGACCGAGACCGTGCGCATCCGGCACTCTTCGACCAGCTCGGTGGCGTCGGTGAGATCAATCAGATCCACGAGGTCGACATCGGCGACTCCGCCATCTTCCACGGCGGTTCGCATTGCCTTTCGCCGAGCTCATGAGGAATCTCGGCGTGCTTCCACCTCATCCTCCGTCCCGCCCACCCCGGGCAAGTCTCTGTCGAAGACAGCACAGCCGCCGGTGAAGAAGAAGAAGTCGATGCCGCCTCCATCCTCGTCTTCTTCTTCTTCCCGAAGACAAACCACTGCCTCCTCGGCCACCTCGTTGGCGAGGTCATCGCCGTTGCAGCCAGCTCAACCTCAGCAGGCCCCTCAGCCCGCTCAGGAGCCACAGCGGTCACCAGAGCCGCTTTTGGAGCAGCCTGATTCCCCTGTGATCTCAGTGGACACGGTGATCGAGGCACCAACTCGACATGTGACAGCCAGACAGGAGCTTTTTCCATCTGTGACAGCCAGACAGGAGACCGTGACAACTGTGATGGCAAGACAGGAGACTTCTCCAGTGACGGAGACTCCAGAAAGGGGCAGGCAGACTATGAGACTGGCCCGTGCCATTCAGGCCTCGACCTCTAAAGCTCCTCCATCAGCCCTGCCGCAACAGCCGAGTCGGGACGTTTCCTCATCCCCTCCTCCCCAATCCATTCCTGCCGAAGATGAAGAGGAAGATGGCGAGTTGCCGGGATCGGTACACTCGGGATCGGTGTTATCTCTCGGGATCGAGAGATCACCCACTCACGACGCTTATGAAGTTGATCTACCATCTCCCACGGACAATGTCCGAGCCTTTGCAGATCAAATGGCTCGCATGGCTGATGCCCTAGGCTTGGAGGTCAAGCAGACTTCCAAAGCAGTGCAGGACCCGGTGTTTAAGAGGGTGCA